GCCTTAGCCGCTTGAGCCACAGGCGCCGAGCCGAGCTTATATGTTTCTTTCCTCATTCATTCCCATCCTTTCTATTAGCCCTCCAAGAACTCAAGCCCTATTCCTCTCTCACCAGCGCACAAGGGCATCCTGTATAGCCACTGTGAGTGCGTGGCCAATGTGCAGGGAGCCAGTGACATTGGGAGGTGGGATACACATGGAAAAGGTCTCCCCTGTGGCCTGGGGCAGCTGGGCCTAGAAGAAAGGAGAAAAGTCAAAGGGCAATAGTGGCCTGGATGTTTCCTGGGAGAATAGCACCCTCTGGTGTCTCCAAGGCAGAAAGAACTTCAGAGAAAACTCCAGCAACAGGAAGGCAGAACAAAAGGAATCTGCCAAGGTGAACCTGCCAAGAGAGAACTTTGAAGACACCAGGGCCAGAAAGAAAACAAGACTGTAATGCAAGCTCAACTCTAAGGCATCAGTTGTGTTCAAGGACCACTCTGTCCTGGGGACATTAGATACCCCTCCCTGCCAAATACTAACCTGATATTCTGGTTTGAAGAAGCCCTCTCGTACCCACCAAGAGTACCAGGCAGCCTCCACATATTGGGGACTGTATGCAGGAGGCAGGCATCCAGAGACATCTGTACGGGCAGAAGAGAGCTCCACTAACTACAGAACTTTGTTCCCAGGCTGCATTTCTACAGCCAAAATGCAACAAAAATGTGAGAGAAAAGACCTTCAAGATCCCTAGTTACCTTTCTTTTCACCAGGTTCCGTGGGGATTTCATACAATACCACCTCCTTAGGACTCCAGGCCTTACTGGATTCTGTAGGTGACTGGAAGGAGGGAGCAGGTGGATACAATTCCCAGACTACCCCAGCCACCTGTATCCCAGCCCAAGTCTCAGAGAACCAGGACAACACCCACTCCCACCCTAACCTTGCTGTTCCTGGCTATCCCAGCCTCCAGTGCAGCCTGTTTCTCTCGCAGGCGCTTTTGTTTGGCTTCACGATTCTTCCTGGAGATAGGAAACCCATGGAGCTCTGACTGTGTAGAAAGAGGATGGGACCTGGGGAGGCCCCATGAAGGCCTCAGCCCCCAAAGTGGTGATCGAAAAGAGGCTAGAGGCAAATGAGGCATCAGGAGAAGCTGGAAAGGGACCAAAATCTGTTTGGGATAGACAGAGAGCACATCAGGACATGTGATTGGGGGAGTGTCACACCCCCTAAAATCACCCCTCTTTTTTGAAAGAGTCTCAGCCTGTCACCTTCAATGGAGTACTGTGGCATCATCATAGCTCACAGCAACCTCAAACTTTTGGGTTCCTCTTGCCTCAGCCTTCCAAGTAGCTGGAACTACAGGAACCCGCCACAACACCCAGCTAATTTTTCCTATTTTTAGTAAATAGTCTTGCTCTTGCTCAGGCTGGTTTTGATCTCCTTAGCTCAAGCGATCTTACGCCTAGGCCTCCCAGAGTGCTAGGATTACAGGCGTGAGCCACCATGCTGGGTTTTACTTCCTTCCTCCTCCGATTAGCACTGGTGTGTTATTCTAAGTATCTATCCTCTCCTACACAACTACAGTGCATGGTGTCCACAAGGGACAGCAGCCCCTGAAGCAGGGTCGTTGTCTTTATCCTGCAAACTATGGATCTACGACTTGGGAGGGATGGCTGACACATGGAGAGGAGAGGACTCAGATTCAGGGAGATGACTGACAAGAGCTGGCAAGCAATCCCGCCAGGGTCACACTGATCTCCGCCTACCCACGGGCAACCCAGTGCACAGGCACCACGCGGCCCGGCCTTTCCGCCCACCCTAAAGCGTGGGCAAAGGCCCCGCAGCGCCTCCTACCTCCCGGAAGCCTCCCTGAGGCGCCCTCACTTAGTGAGCCGGCAGCTAACTCTTGGCGCCCCTCCGCTACACAGTACCGGGTCACCAGCACACCCAAACTTGGCCCACGATTCCCGCAGCGCGTAAGGGCGGAGTCCCGACCGGCGCATGCGCAGCGGCTGGCCCTTAGCCCCGCCCCCTCTCTGTCCAATGGCCGCCGACACAGAGGAGTGCGCGCGGAAAGGAACCCCCGCGGGAGGCGCCGAACCGCATAGGTCACTTCCACAGCTTTATTAGACAAGAAGAGTTCCGACGTGTAAATAAAAAACACCTGAGTTCTGAGGCCAGCACCGCCTCGCCTGCCCCGCCCCTAGGTCCAGGTCCGTGTCAGTGTCCGTATCCTGGTCTGGGTCTGCGTCCAAGTCCCGCGCTCTTAAGAGCTGTGTTTCTGCCTCTTCCAGAAGCGCTTGACGTCGCTGTGCCCGGCCGGGGTCACCACCATGAGTCGCTTGGCCGAGTTCTCAAACACAAGCACACCCAGCTCCCGTGCGTGGGCCAGCAGCAGCTCAAAGTCCACTTGGGACAGGAACTGGTTATACAGGACCCCTGGGGTGGGCAACACGAAGAGACATAGTGAAAATGTACCACTTGGACCCACAGTCCTCCCAGCCTCTTCGTGGCAACAACAGGAGGCTTGCCCCCACTGAAGTTTTTAAAAACTAATTCTCTAGGCTTTCTGCCCAGGGGCTTATCTTAACACCAGTGTGATCCAGCCATATTCAGAGGCAATAAAAATACAGTAAGAAAGCCCATTAGTGTTCGCCAACACCAGAAAAATTACTGTGAATTATTTCCTCTCCTAGCTAAAATCAAATGCACTGATTTAGGACATTTGCCGCCATTCACCCCAAGATAAAGTGTCTTGCCAGCTTTCCTTCATGAAGTACATGAAAGAAAAAAATGCACAAAAAGCTTTTTCAGCTCATCAAAAATGTATTGTCTGCTCTCTCCCTCCCCTCCCTCTTCCTCTCCCTTCTCTCATATTAAAGGGAAAAAAAGGCAAGAATTGTCTGCCATTCCTCTGGCCAATAACTAAGACTCACCCACTAGAATCCACTCACCCTCAGTGAACCGAAGTCTGTCCCTTTCCAACTCCCACAAGCGAATCTGGTCTGTGATGGTGGGAGGCAGTACAGGTGTCTGAAGAGGCAAGAGCTCGCTGTAGGGCTTCAGGAATAATGCCCCCAGACAACCCGGCCCTCCACTCATTCCCCAAATTTGGATGACCCCCTTTTATTCCATCATCTCATCAGAGGTGCCAGGGCTGCCAGCCTCTGACATCTTGCTACCTGTCTGTACCTGTTTGAGCATCACTGGGTGAGCCCTTGTCCTTAGGAAATGGATTATCTGGGAAAACACAAGGATGACACAAGAGCTTGAGCAAAAATGCAAGAAAGTCATATGAGCTGTTGTCTGATGTCATTGGAACATCAACTTACATTGTTTAAAAACTCAGCTCCTGTCAACTTGACCCATCCTTGTTCAGCTGTTATCCCCAATTACTGCTCCCACAGACCATGTCTGCTAGTCCTTCACTGGCACATTTGGCCTTTCTAGTCTTGTTCTGTTTTTCTTTCTTTAAAATGGCAGCAGCCACTATTTTTTGAGCACTTAACTGCATGGCAGGCTCTGAGCTAAATTCTTTACCTCTAGTCTTTCAATAAATTATCACCTGTGAGGTGAGAACTATCATTTACCAGATGAAGAAATTAAGGCTTCACAGAGGAGAAGCAACTAGGTCCAGTTTACACAGCCAAGAAGTAGTAGTGCTGAGACACAAATCCAGAGCTGTACCTCTTCCCTCCATGCTTTTTCCTCCAAGTGTCTGCCTATCTCCGTATTTGAACCCTTGACTTCACATTTGCCTAGTGGCCAAACACTGACAACTCATCACCACCTTTTGTAACAGACTCAGAGCTAACCTTCTGTAATGTGACCACCCTGTACCCCACAACCCAAGTGCAGTCCCACTGCCTCTCCCACCTCCCCCAAGGAGGGGATACCTGCTGGGCTGTGATGCCACTGGCGATGGCCTGCTGCACACTCTCTCGGGTCACCTGTGCTACCACCATGTTGGGGAAGCGATAGAGCATCTCAGAGAAGAGGGCAATGAGGGCAATCTGCAGCTCCGACTCTGACCCAAATATAGGAAGAGAGGGTGAGGAGGCAGCCCCCACACCTCGATACCCTCAAGCCCTTACTGTGTGATGAGAAATGTCAGTGAGTTCCGCAAACTGCCAAATAAACATGAACTGGCAGAATTGGCCATTCCCTCCTGCTTCCTTCTCCCTCCCCACTCCCAGCCACAACCTCCTCTCCCATGAGACTCTGTCCAGCCTCACCTGTATAGGCATATAGTCGATAATTGGTTTCTACCACAATGAAGCCTGGCTGATGCACAGTGCCCCCAGCTCCAGAGACACCTGATGAGAGATTGATGGCCAGGCGCGTAGGATAGTAACGCCGAGATTTCCTCTGGAAAGAACAGAAGGGAAAGGTAAATTGTCCTCTCTCAGGGATCATTGTGCACATTTTCCTGCCTGAGACAGCAGATCCCTCCCAGGACACAGAACCTTCCTCAACTTTTCTCCCCATAGGGACCCAAGTATTCAGTCCTGATAGCTACTTCCTGCTACTGCCCCCAAGACGCCACGCATTTTTAAAGGCTAAAGCAACACACCACCCTGCTTCTTCCCTAGAAGGCTCTGATCTAGGTGTTCATACCTTCCTCTGGAAAACAAGACCAAATTCACGTAGATGTTGCAGGAAGTTCAACAGAGAATCACTCATACCTTCCACAGAGTAATCCTGAGGAAGAGAGGTGGCTAGCTAGGGTCCAAAACACATCTCATCCTACCTCCCCAACCCCATACACTCAATCCCTCTGTCCCCATCTCTGCTCATTCTGTATTCATTCTTTTTACCCCCCCGCCAACCTGCCCTCCAGCCCCCCACTTACCTTGCCCAGAGTAGAGAAACTGAGCTGGAAGAGGAAGGAGAGAATCTCCACTAGGTCCATGCCCCGGCTCTAGAAAGGGCCAGAGACAAAGGAAGGGAGATGGGAGAGGGAAAATGGGAAGAGACAGTCAAAGGGAAGATCAAAGAATAGAATTCTGTAGGCAGTAGTTGCTCTGGGAGACCTGAGAGTACAGCACGCTAGATGTGGCCACTGGCCTCCTCACCTGGGCTGTCTGCAGATACTGCAACATAAAGTACCACAGCTGGGCCGGGGTATCCAGCAGTAGGAACTGGAAGCCAGCAGAAGTAATGCAGGGTGGCTCTCCAGGTTCAGTGCTGGAGACAGAGAGAGACAATAATGGAGCTATGCAGAGAAAGGCTACTTGTACTATCCCTGTCCACTCATGTTTTTTCTTGTTATCTCTGGCCATACTCTTACTCAGTTCACCTTTTCCAGTCAACCCCCTCTGATTCCTCAGATACTGTTTATCAGGGACCAAGGAGATGGCACAGCAGGAAGCTGTAGACCAGGGGTCCTCAAACTTTTTAAACAGGGGGCCAGTTCACTGTCATTCAGACCGTTAGAGGGCCGGACTGCAGGCCCCAGGATGAGTAGGCTGCTAAGCAGGACAGGCAGTGGTAGCAAAAACACCCGGTGGGCTACATGAGGCCCGCGGGCCATAGTTTGAGGATGCCTGCTGTAGACCTCTGGCTTCCTCACCTCTTCATAAGCCCCGCCTGGCTGAGGAGCTGAGCCAAGTCCTGGCTGACAGCTGCACTGGGGGAACCCACCATGAAGTGTAAGACCACCTGAGGAACAGAATAGAACAAGAGACCATGACTCTAGGGGCCATGGGAGGTAGAAGCCTAAGAAGACACACACAGAGTCCCAAGTCCTTACCTCCCATCGCTCCTCGGCATACTTGTCAAGTGAGGGAACATCCCGGGCATGCTTGTCTGGTCCCAGCTGACTTGTGTCATCAGACCAGGCCTTCCCCCTATGGCCAGGATGGGCCAAGAGTAAGGAATCCTGTCTGTATTACCTGCTGCCCTCTGCCTTCTTTCCACCCTATCCCCATGGCCATGGGGGACATTTCCTGCACCATGTAGCTACATCTGGCCCAACATATTCCTAAAGGAGCTCCCAGACACAGAGTCCACAATGTTCCATGGAAACTCCTCAGGAGCTCCCCCTTTAGCAGTTTAATCAGCAGTTTATTTACCAGTTCCCTGGCCTAACTTAGGAAGAGACGAAAGTGACATACCCACCCAGAAGGGCAATGCGGAGGTTCTGGCGGAAGATGGGATTGAGGATGAGGCCCTGGAGCCCACCTGGGAGCAATTGGGTGTGCCAGATACGGAGGCCACTCAGCAGCCCTGTACTTTCCTCCTGAGCCCTAGAACAGAAGCAGAGAGGTGAGTGAGATGTCTGGAGACCAAAAAGGAGACCCATAATGGCTTCCATTTCTGCCTTGGCACATTGTTCCACAGAGTGAAATCAATGACTTCTTAATACAAATGCCTTTACCGCACCACCCATCAGAGCCTTTTTGGAGACATCATAACTCTCTAAGAGGGAAAATACAGTATGCAGAGTTTCCCAAACATATATAATTTGTGGTGTACCTATTGAATCTGGAAGTGTTTGAGGAACAGCAGTTTGAGAAACTCCTATCTGTTGCAAAATTTATATCTGGTGAGAATGCAGCAGAGACTCACTTGCTGAATTCCTTCTTTACCCACAGGGCTACTGCAGCTTGTGGCAATGGCTGCTCCAGAAAGAGCATCCGCATCACCCAGTTCTTAGCCAATGATGGGAGTTCCCTGTAGGGGAGTAGGTCCAATGTTAGTAACAAAAGCTGTCTTCTATCTGCATCTCTTCCCTCAACTGCCTCTCAAACATCTCATCCCACCCCCCTCACACCTTTATCAGTTTTGCTGTCTCCACAAACTCCATCTGTTTTGGCCCCCCATACTTTGAAGTAATTTCCAACCCCAACCCTAACCCTAAGCTGCTACACTTTATTTCTATGATAACTTATTCCAGTCTTCAGACCCCATTACCTCCATGAACCATGCCATGAAGGAGGCTCCTCACCTGAAGAC